AGTTGAAGTGGTATGTGCATGCACACATGAATGCTGATGGAAGCCATAGCTAACGCTAATGCTTAGAAGCTACAAAACACATTTAAAATACCCCATTCCCATAAATCCACCCCAAAGCAGTTGTACTTTTCTCAACAGTTTCCCTCACCCTTTAGATATGTCATCAGAAGGGACGGAAGTGGCCCTTTAAGTTTTAAGAGTAAAAAATGAAAGTCTGGACCTGCAAGTGGATCCAGAGTGACTGAGGAGTCATGATGTCATGACCAAGTAGTTATGTAAACATGGTCACTAGTTGTTGTTGTTATTGTTTATAGACTATGAAATTTGGAAACAAGCTCCTCTTAATCAAGCCCACATTAACTCTCAGTATCAGAGAGCTGAATAAAGATCAGCACTGGCTTTTTACATCTTACAAATACAATTGCAGGTTCAGAGTGGATTCTAGATCAGTTCTCCTCACAAATAAGAATGTTTCTTTCTGATAAGAGATGCACCGATATAGGAACTGTGGACTGATGCAATTATCTGCCAATATCAATACAATTTCATTATCACTGGGCATATCTATTGAGCATAACTCATTTTTTTAGTATAGTTCAGCTCAGCTCTTGGGCACAGGAAGACGCCTCAGTGCTCCACTCCAACTGTGTGGAAAACTAATGAAAGAATTAAATATTTGGTGTGAGGCCTAATGCTGATAAACATTCACATTAGAAATCAAGCAGCTTTTTTCTGATAAGATAGTCATGGCAGTAGTGCTGCACCCACTTTAAGCCAAGAGCAACAAAACAGAAAGCAAGAAAGTGAAAAGTTTCTCCAGTATGCTGACTGTGAAAGAGGTTTACACAACTCTAATCAACACCTCGCCACAAAGACACCAAGCAGACTGTGGGAATTAACATCCACGCTACCGCAGATGTCAAGCTTGGGAATCAAACAAACATTTGAATTAGAAAAGAACCTGCATTCCTGCTAACACACAGTGATGGGCCGTTTCCATAACAACAGCTTTATTTCTTTTGTGTTTACAGCTGGGGCTGGAAATATTTGTCCCCAAACGGTCTGCCTGGCAAATACACAACAGTGCTGGCTGTGTTCTCCTACATGATGACTCACAGCATTACAGAAGTCCTCATGAAAATGGCAACGATACAACCGCATAGTTCACTCAAGCCTGAGGAAGCACTATACAGTATTAGAGATCAGGGACTAACAGCACATGCTCATACATACTGCTGCTCCAAATGCTCCTTAATCAAAAGCTATTTCTCCACGACTGGCATGCAAAAAGTAATAAAACGCTTTTCCATTCACAAATCTGTCCAGTTAGAGTGCTCCAGTCCAAAGAGCCAGGCTATATTAGAATATATTAAGTTCACAATTAACTTGACTAGAAGTCAAGTGTTTCTTAGGCATTCTTCATGCCTGGAGCAGGTCAGTCTTAAAGGGAGCACGGCTGCCCAGTCCATTATTTTATAGACTGAATACAATACAGCCTTTGTGTATGATGTCATCCTTAAGGGGTTATTATATGGTCTGCACCGCTTCACATAATCGCAATATGCTAGTGATTCCTATTGATAAGGAGACTGCATCTGGCCAACCATCACTCATTACTAGACCAATTAGGGTAAAAATCAGAGCTTGTCCTTCAGTAGCATTGACCTTAAGTGCCATCACAAAGTTACGCACCTGACCCATGTGACAAGATGTAATACCATTTGAGTTTCTCTCAAGCTGACACAATTCTTACTGGTTCCCAGAAAAAAATGAAGGCCTACATTTTTATTTACTACATTCACATCTACTTTTATTTACTGTTTGCTTTTCTGAAAGATGAGGTAGCCAGACACCTCAGATTCATGGCCTATTCCATAGATGAACAAATCAGTAGGCAGGAATTTGAAGAAAATGTGTTTCTGCTGTAATTGTTTTGTTTATCACATTACTTCTTCTAAAAATGGAAGATAAATCAGCTATTGAGTATTTCACCATGTAGGAGTAAGAAAATTGCTCTGGCATTTGGGAACTTTAAGGTCATCAACTTATCATCACCAAACAAACTGGATTAAAATGGAAGAAAGGTAAAACAAATGAATAATAAGTAGGAAAGGATATTGCGAGCTTAATTATATGATTACATTTATTTATCCCCACTGCATTAGTTATGATTGACTACAGCAGAAAAACCAGACCCTGTACTTAATACTGTGCCACATATCCTGGATTTGGATTAGGCAGTGAAGAACTTACTGACATCTTGCTTTACTTTACTGATTACGTGAGAGCATACTAAATCATGGAGCAGTGACAGGTCATGGAGCTCCTCAGTCTTCAGAAAGAAAGAAGAAGCGTTTTGATGCCAGAGCATCATGAGCATCATCACTGCTTTCCGAGCACGATGAACTGGCTTTAATATCTCAGCTTACTGGGTAGGGCAAGTTACAAGATGGCTGCAATCCAAAGAGCTGATTTGCATTAAACTTCTGAACTGATAAAGTTCCTCATAATGAGAGAGAAAACGTTCATCACAGAAGCCCAGTCGCCCTGATTCACTAATACACTGCTAGTGTTCTTACTCCTAGTCCTGAAATAACCTGCCTGGTACATTTCAGTGTTTTTCCCACTCCCAACACACCAGACTCAACTCATCACCTCATTAACAAGCCTTTCCTGAGAGTCTGTTTGAGCAAGGGAAATACTGAAATGTGCAGAATATGGTACTCCAGCACTAGAAGTGGGAACCACTGCAAAAGAAGACAACTCAATGACCTGGCCAACTAGAACTAGAACACTTAGTAAGTGCATATAAAATAATATAAGATTAACACAACAGTAGCTTAATTAGAACACAAGTATGCTAGCTAGAACACCAGCACATACAAGGACGCAAGAACAAAAGTAACTGACTAGAACAAAAGTCAGTTAGAATGACAACACACTAGTTAGAACGCATGTACAACAGTTAGAACACCAGCATGCTATTTAGAACACAAGCAAGCTAGCTAGAATAATAGCACAGCCAGATTAACCGTATAGACTATACAGGCTCCAGCCTTGGGCCTTGGGGCCTTGCATCACTGGATTCTGATGGTTTAACAGATGCTCTAGGTCTGATTCCAGATACATTTCATGGTTTCCTAAAGGGATCTAAAGTTGTTCTACAGGAAACTAGTGGTCTATAATGGCAACCATTAGACCAATTCCCTATCAAATCGGGAACAAGCACGCTATAAAATAACAAGCTTGATAATAGATAAAAATCTTTAAATACAATTTCCAGAAGTGGTCAATGAGGGGAAGGAAGTGACCTAACATCAGCTAGCACACAAACACTTACAGCAGCAGAGGAGCTATACTACAATGCTCCAGCAGATGATGTGTGGTTCCCAAACTGGATTAGCTAAACCCAGTGATAACAACAGAATGATCTGATGTGAAGGTGTTGATATTAATCTTTGCACAGAATATAGTCACAGTCGTGAGTTTTATTTCTTAATGTTCTGCATTTGAGTAGCTAACACAGATTGAATGAAGCAACTGACATTTTCAGTGATTATTAGCTAATGTTAGTCCATAGTCCAGTTGCATACCTACTAATTTTTTTTGTTTTCTTGTTGCAACGAAATTAGTGTCAGCATACTATTTAATTGGTGCTATTCTTTATGCTTTCATGATTTTTTATGTAGCATACTGTCGCTATTGTGACAAAACCCTGTATCTCCAAAATTGTAACTTAAAAGGAGAAGGAATAAACAGTCTTGACTGATCAACTATTGTAAGATAAGGTAAAGAGAATTTTTTCTTCCAAGTAATTTTGGACCATTTCTATTGGTCCATTTATCACCAAAGTTTTACACGATGCAAAGGGCAACTATTATTTTTCAAATAATGCCAAAAAATAAAAGGTCCTAGGGACTCAAATTCTTCATAGCCTAGGTCCACAAGTTGGCTATGAACGCCACTTAGAACACATGCATGGCAGCAAGAATGCCAGAATACGAGTTAGAGCACAAGTACGCCAGTTAGAACACAAGCCCTCTAATTAGAACACAAGTACTCTAGTTAGAACACTAGTACTCTAGTTGGTGCACAAATACTTTAATTAGAGCACAAGTACTCCAACTAAAACACAAGTACTCTAGTTAGAACACAAGCACTCTAGTTAGAACACAAGTACTCTGGTTAGAACACTAATACTCCAGTTAGAACACAAACACTCTATTTAGAACACAAGTCCTCTAATTAGAACACAAGTACTCTAGTTAGAACACAAGTACGCTAGTTAGAGCACAAGTACTCTAATTAGTACACTAGTACTCTAGTTAGAACACTAGTACTCTAGTTACAACACAAGCACTCTAGTTAGAACACTAGTACTCTAGTTAGAACACTAGTACTCTAGTTACAACACAAGTACTCTAGTTAGAACACTAGTACTCTAGTTAGAACACAAGTACTCTAGTTAGAACACTAGTACTCCAGTTAGAACACAAGTACTCCAGTTAGAACACTAGTACTCTAGTTACAACACAAGTACTCCAGTTAAAACACTAGTACTCTAGTTAGAACGCTAATTAGAGCGCAGATGCGCTGAGTGGAGCGCAGCCGCAGTGACTTTTCCAAAGTGACCAAAGTGATGGACTGAGTCCTGGATAACGCTGCTGCAGTGCGAGACAAGCTCTCCTGTCAGTGCATCATCCTCTGCTAGAATCACAAATCTAGACGAACAGAACTCACAGAAAAAGAAATAAGGACAACGACTTTCACTCATGCTGCAGCGGGTGAGCAGCAGCCTGCTTTAAAAACCGCTAAACCTCCACACCCGACTTTCTGAAACTTTCTCTCAGCTCCAGCTCGCACAGCTCCAACACGCAGAGACTCAATCAATGAACCGAGCCAGAGAAAACGGTGCTGACGCTCCTCCGCTTCCCTCTGAGTAGCGCAGCGCAATTCACACAACTTTCACCACACAGCAAAGAAAGTGCTGCAGAACTTACCTTCCAGCAGCTGAAAGGCAGACCCTGGATGGCAGTGCCACAGAGCAGCGAGGCACAAGAACCTCAGAGTGAGTCTGAGAGGAGAAAAGTGTAAAGGTGGCATGAGGACCCTCTCTCACATCACTCTCACATCACACTCACATCACTCCCACATCAGTCAGTGTGGCAGCAAATGTCTGCAGTATTCATTAAATTCACCTCAGTATCGCAGTGTCCCCCCGAGCCATGGCACAGTCTCAGCGGTCCTGCAGCGCGCTCCCGGCTGCCTCTCTCTCTCTCTCTCTCTCTCTCTCACTCTCCCTCTCTCTCTCTCTCTCCTCCTTCACGTCGCTCTCTCGTGAACAAAGGCGGTCTCAGTCCGGCCGAGCTCGAGCGGCCCACGGAAAAACAGTGAAACCTGAGTCGTGCTGTGGAGCTGCGCTTTATTCACTCCACACAGGCAGAAGGACGACGCACGCCTTGTCTCCTCCTTAAAGATTTACGATAAGACAGGATCTCTCCCACTCTGTCTCCCTCTTAAAGATGGCCAAACTCCTATTTCAGAAGCCATTGACACGTTAGTGGATGTTTCGTTTCCTCACTAGTAAAAATCTCATTAATTCCTCCTGCATTTCTATACAGATACAAAAACACTCAGTCTATATCAGAGAAAGATGACCAAAAAGAGGAGCTGGAGTCATCATGTAAACTCCATTTGCTTTTTACAAGAGTCTCAGCTAAGGTAGCCAACCTTTAAGGACTGACCTTGAGGGAACTGACCTATGCCTCCTGGAACTGTAAACAAACTTTTTTCTTTTTTTTTTTGGAATCAGTGGAAATTATATGCTACAGTGAACATTACAGTCATGTTTGTCTCTCTTCTTTGGCATAAATAAACAAAGCAGGATATGTTCAATATTTAACATTCTTAAACAATTTCTGTACATTTAATAAAAAGTTTAACAAATGGTGTAAAAGACAAATCTCTGATTGCCGTCAGATGGAGTTGGCAGAGCCAGTTTCAGGTAATGTTTAAAATCAACTATACTGCTAAAAGTATGTGGCTCCCCTACTAGATAGTGAGTTCAGGGATTTCAGCCACACATTTTGCTAAAAGATGTATAAAGTCAAGCACAAAGCCATGCAATTTCCAAAGACAAACACTGGCAGTGGAATGCGTTGTAATGAAGAGCTTGGTGACTTTAAACATGGCACTGTGTGGAAACATGTTCCCTGGAGTGATGAATCTCACATAACTATCTGACAGTCTAATGGATAAATCTGGGTTCAGTGGATGCCAGGAGAATACAACCTATTGCAATGCATCGTGCCAACATGGTGGTGGACAGTAATGAAGTAAATGTAATTCATTACTGTACTTAAGTAGCACACCAATCAGGGTACAGCGCACACTTTGTTTTGAGCTTGTTGGACATACCTACCCAGTGCAAGCATACGGTTCAACGTCAGTGCAGCAGCGTAAAATTTTGGAAGTGTCTATTCCTACATAAATGATGGAACTAAGCTAACTTTGTGTAAATAGACCACAATATAGAAATATGTACACATATGCAGTTGTGACTGGAGTGTCTTTTTTCTGAATTTATACAAACACTATTTCATTTTATAGTAAATTTGTTTTGGCTAGTTTATGTTTATAAACAGAGACCTGCAGATGCAATATAGTAAAGGAAAACTCATTTGTGAACCTGTGTTTAAAGCAAGTTTTTATTAAACTTAAACTTGTAATTAAGTTGTAAATAAATCTTAAACTGAAATTTTGCTTGTTTGCAAAAAGCTATTTCATGGCGACTTGGTTCTACCTAATGGAAATTGTTTGCCTTCAGTATTTTGTGGGGTGGGCTGCTGGAGCCTATCCTTCAGTATTTTGTGCTTTTCATAATTTTAATAGACATCAGTGTCAGACAAATTAATGACATTCTATTAAAAGATTGGTTTACCAACAGTGACACTAGAGGTTTTTCTCCTAAAATGAGTTAATGAAGCAAGAGTCTTGTTACAAAAATGGTAATAGGACATTAGAGTCATAATTAATCTGTAAGTACTTTTACTTAAGTGGAGGTCTAAAGGGAGGACTTCTACTTCTACTGGAGTAATATTTTACCTTGGGTATCTCTACTTTAACTCAAGTACATGATTTGTGTACTTCGTCCACCACTGTGCCAACAGTAAGCCATATCAATGCCAATAGATTTGTTATATAAGTACAACCCCATTTCCAAAAAAGTTGGGATGCTGTGCAAAATATAAATAAAACAGAATGCAATGGTGTGCAAACCCTATATTTGTTTTCAATGTATGACAGGTCTGGACTGCATGCAGGCCAGTTTAGCACCTGGACTCTTTTACTACAGGGCCATGCTGTTGTAATACACGCAGAATGTGTTTTGGCATTGTCTTGTTGAAATAAGCAAGGCCTTCCCTGAAAATTGTCTGGATGGCAGCATGAGTTGCTCCAAATGCTGTATATATTGCTCAGCGTTAATGGTGCCCTCACAGATGTGCAGGTTGCCCATGCCATGTGCACTAATGCACCCCTATACTATCATGGATGCTGGCTTTTTAATTATGCACTAATAACAAGCCAGATGGTCCTTTTTTTCTTTAACCTGGAGGATGTGGCATCCATGATTTCCAAAAAGAATTTTAAATGTTGGTTTATCGGACCACAGGACACATTTCCACTTCACCTCAGTCCATCTTAAATGAGCTCAGGCCCAGAGAAGGCAGCAGCATTTCCGGACCCTGTTTACGTATGGTTTCTTCTTTGCATGGTAGAATTTGCATTTGTGGATGCAGTGACAAACTGTATTCACAGACAGTGGTTGTCGGAAGTGTTTCTGAGCCCATGCAGTGATTTCCACTGCATAATCGTGTCTGTTTTTAATGCAGTGCCGCCTGAGGTCCCAAAGATCACAGCCAGCCAATATTGGTTTTTGGCCTTGTCCCTTGCAGATGATAAAATCCCAAAGTACTTTGCTATTTTACATTGCGCTATTTGCCCTCACAGCCTTTTCACATCTCTACTTCTGAAAGACTCAGCCTGTCTGGGATGCTCTTTTTATACCCAACTTTTTTAAATGTGTTGCTGGCATTAAAATCCTAATGGGCATAGATTTTTCCAAAAACAAAGAAATTTCTCAGTTTCAACATTTGATATGTTGCCTTTGTACTATTTTAAATTTAAAATAGAGTTTAAATGACTTGCACATCATTGCATTGTGTTTTTTATTAACATTTTGTACAGCACCTCAAATGAGATTTCAATGTTATTTGGACATGAAGCACTAATGACATTTTCATGAATGATGGAAGACATGGGAAAGTACAATCCTAGAATTAAATCCAAAACAACATGCTCATAAATGGGCGATTTATGCTCCCCACAGTTAACAATTTACACATTATCAGATATGCACTGGATGGGTCAAAGTAAGGTTGAGATGTCAGGTTGAGTTGGCCTTTATGAACCATCTGCTTAGAAATAAATGAAAGAAAAAAGGAGCAAAGACAGTGATAGAAAGTCTAGCTCTAGATAAAAGGCCTTAGATAACTACCTTGTTAAATTTGTGTCTGTTGTAGAACACTTTCTGAATTACACCAATGGTCTAATATGCTCTAGTGAACATCTGGATACAAACCAGAAGGGAGTTTGCTAGGATTACAATCCAAATTGTCCAGTGAGCTGCAATATATGTAGTGACAAAGAGAAGTTATGAGAGGTGCTTAGTGTGCTTTATTATAGGCTGAAAACTGCACTGTACAAATTCACTTTATCCTGGCTTAACTGCACCATTTAATTCACTTCCCAGAAAGGTCTGAAGATAAATCCAGACTGTTTCTGATCTTATAGCCTTAACCAAATAAAGAACCTAGGTAATGCTATCCGTTCATAAACTCAGATGAGACCAGGTTTTCGTTGTCAAAACAAGACTCAAGGCTTCAGAGACTAGAATTTGTACAACCCTGAAGCTTTCCATGATCTGCTAGCCATGGGGAACCTCAGCCACCACACGGTGGTCACTGCAACATATGACTTCACTTTCGGAGACATCTGGGAGACAGTGATCAAGCATTCAGCAACGTCTTATGAACAATTAATCCTTCAGTATAGGTCATGATTCATCCGTAGAGGTATTCCATTTGGATGAGGCATGGAATCCACTCCCCCAAGGCTGTCTCAAAGGTGCTGAGGAGAGTAAGAATAGATAGTGTTGGACATTGGAATTCCTATCTGTAACCACACCAATACGGTGTGCGACCATCAGCAAAGCCAGCAAAGAACCTTCAAGAGAGTTCCTTCAGATACAGCGACAAGGGGCAATGACAAGCTTGATGGCTCCATTGTTGTAAGCACATTGTTTTGTGTCTGGCATGCCATGGTTGAGGAGCCACTGTTGAGATGGCTTTTAAAGGCTGTGACAGCATGATGAAGTGATTCTGTCATTCTGCCATGTTTTCATTTCCAAACGGATGCCGCTGTGGACAAGTCAGACAGGAGCTCACAGGAGCCTGTATGCTACAGCATGGAGTGTAATCAACATAAACTAAATAAAAGTTTTTAAGGGACTATTTCATCCAAGAATATCAACATGGCTAAAATAAAAGCAAGTTAAGGGCAGCATTTACATATACTGTGAATTTAATGATGGGTTTTAAACACTTTTCTGTTACACTTTTGAAGCAAGTCACTGTGTTAACACTGTGTTATTTGAGAACACTTTTGGGAAGGCTTGACTGCAATATCGAGAACATTTACGGCAGGGGTCCTGAAGTCTGGTCCTGGAGGGCCGGAGACCAGCACAGATTGGTAATTTCCCAGCTCAAACATATCTGATTCAACTTAGCAGTTTATGAGCAGGTTTAGTAGGTGTGCTTGAGTTTTTCCACTGCACATTCAAAAACAAGAACCCACAGACTCATGTGTAAAGATAAGCAATAGTTCATTCGAGTGTAAATTGACGCATTGGCTGTCTCGCTCAGCTTAGCTTAACACTAGTTGTGCTGACATGAAATGATTCAACATGTTTTTCTGTGCTCAAACACACAAATGTCTACAATCACACAGAATAAAACAAAGGTTATATTTTTTCTCTGATAACTGTGAAAATACAAGCAAAAACACTCTGTGGAGGCTTCTTTGAATGCTAATAATGTTCGTGTTAGCTTCCTAACTAACATATGTTAACATAGCTAACTTTTAACAAAGTAATAATTGTAGACATAGCAATCGAAACATCAACATACCATTCTAGTTCCCATTCTTGTGGACTTATTTGTCATGTAAAAGTGCTTGATGACTTTGCCTTCACTTCAAAGAATAAAGAATTCACTAAACTGTCATTGGCTTCAGCCACAAGTGTTACCAAAGAGAAAGGAGGACATCCTCAAGTACCATTAAGTCCTGTTGGCACCAATTTTCATTAGGTATGGTAAAAACATAAAACTAGCACC